TATTACTTTTCATATTTTATAAATCCCTTATTATCAGGTGCAATATCCAACTGTTTTCGTTGCAAGAAATAAATGCTATTATTATTATTAACATTATCATTATGAAAGAAAAGTTAAGTACCTTGCACCAGATGCCTTGAAGATATTGGCCCATTTCCCAGCATCAAAAAACTCTCCTAAAAACTCTGGAGCAAAATCTGTGTATTCCCATCCAGGTGCTAGTTTCTCTGCAACAAACTTCTTCACACCTTTACCAACATCAACCCTGTATTCTTTATTTTGTTCAAAATATTTCTGAGGTGTCTTCCACCAGTACCAGAACCATTCTGATGAAGTTGCAGCAAAGCCAGGTACTGCATACACCCCCCAATGTATGAAAACCCCCAGCTTTGCTTCTTCATACCATTTGGGAATTGGACGCTTATCTAAAGAATCCCATGTTGCCTTGTACCAACCCTAATAATAAAAATTAAAAACACTTAAAAGAAAGAGAAAAGAATCATTGCAGCCCATCACATAATTATCATATTTACCTTGCCCCCGATGCCTTAAAGATGTCTACCCACTTCTCTGGATTAAAAAACTCTCCTGAAAATTGTGGGGCGAAGTCAGAATACTGCCAGTCAGAGGAAAATTTATCTGCAACAAACTTCTTAACACTTTCCCCAGTTATGACTTTTGCTTTCCTCCGTCTCTGTAAAAAATCCTGGTCAATCTTCCACCAGTACCAGAACCACTCAGATGGCCCACTGACTGCATACCCTGGGACAGCATATACCCCCCAATGTATAAAAATCCCCAACTTGGCATTTTCATACCATGAAGGAATGGGTCTGTTGTCAAGTGATTCCCAATGTGCAGCATATGGATAGGGTACCTGAAAAATTGTTAAGGTTGGAATATTTTCTAGCAAATCTTTCTAAAAATGAGTGCGACTGATTCAACTTCCAGTGTAAATCCACACAGCTGGATCAATCTTTTTTATTTTTTTAAAAGTTTTTTATAAATAATTTACTAAATATATTCAAAAATCCTTTAAAAACATTTATCTTATATATGATTCATTGTGTTTCTGTTGATACATGTACATGCAGATATCAAATGTCATATAAATTATAATCTGCACGTTTTACTCTTTAACCCCTTCATAATACTGCGTCAAAATACCACAGACTGAGACGCAGGTTCATGTATCTTAATTGTCAATAAAATGTGCCCGATGTCTTCCAAGTTATATATAGGTCCCTACAACTTCAAGTGCACATTATACCGGTCCATGTTGATATCCATTTTGAGAAGAGAGGCATTAAACCAAGACGAAAATTTACTTCATGTCCATTCTGAATACTAATGTATTTTATCTACGTGAGGCAATGCTTTGTCTGGTATGTACACAACTCGACGCAAACGGATCTTTGTAATTTAGTAATATACTATTATATAGATCTACTGAGCACAGGCTTCAAACAACTGCGCATGTGCGAAAAGTGCGCTGTTTGAAATAAACAAGTTGGTGAAATTGACAAAGACCGTCTGGTTGATTTTGTTTCATTAGCTCTCTGGTGTCTTTTTGAAAATTTATATTAGAAATGTTCTATTGATTTTATGTTGTAAAAAGTAAATCCGTCGGAATTCCTTAGAAAAACATTTATTTTACCTTCATTTTAAGGGGATTCCCATTGTATTTATAGTGTTATATGTGGCCCCAATGGGGATTTTCACACCTCCCCTACTCTTGATTAATAAAATTCTTCACCTGGAGGATTGTAAATTACATTGCAAAATACATTGAAAATCGTAGGAAGGTTAACTGCAGATAATGCTGCGAGGATATTCTTAACAGTGGGGGAACTCGGCCAATATAAAATTTTTAACTTCGTTTTACGATTTTGGAGCGCCTGTTCTAATTTTTGAAAGCGAGGCAATGGAACCAAACAATGCGATACAATTTGTAATCTCGTAAAAATTGCTATTTTTATATAAAGGTTATAGCATGGAGTACATCGAAATGCGACTTGTTTATTATTATGATCTTAAATAATAATTAATATAAAACAAACGATATAATACGTTCTTAACGTTAGCCTATTTATTAGCTTAATTGATTTTTTTTCGTATTTGGAGATTAAAAACACAAAAGTTGTCTGGTTTCATATCGAGGCACTGCGTTTCGTTCGTGTGCTGATCTACTGTACAGGCCCGAAACCCGAGTAGCAAAGATCGAGCACACATCACGTACTCTGTCATCACAATATCAAAAGACTATATACTAATCGGTCTAACTATCGTAACTATATAGTCTACGTTATTATATCTGTGTGTGTGTTTGTGTGTGTATACATATTCACGGTTGAGCTTGCACAGAAAACAGAGTAAGTGTGGTTTGAAATCAGAAACCGCATTCGAATGAACGTCCCTGAACACCCTACCGTTTGATCAAATTGTGCATCCAAGTTCGTGGTGTCAGCTCCTCTCTTCAACAAGTCCAAGTCTAACGGTGCCCTGACTACACATGGATAAAACACAAAAACCTGGAAAAGTATGAAAATTGTCTGTGCACACACGAACCCGACGATGTAACGTCGGAATCGGAAGGAGGCAGCCATGCGCCTACCAGGTAAACAAAACATGCCGTGGATCGTGTGGGGGCGCTGCGGGTGGTTGCTCGTGCTCAGCTAAACCCAAGGAGGAGCTATAGTTGCTTCCAGTACCGCAGAGAAACTATGATGCTGTCATCTTAAGCATTATGCGTTAGAGCACACGGTAGCAGACGTATTTAAATTATTCAGTTTCCATAAATGCATATTTGATCTACATCTGAAAGTTGGAAGTACAATCTGCTGCAGGTGCATATATTAAAGCGGTTGGCCGTTTGAGAACCCAAATTCTTTTTTCTTTAAACGCGGTTTTGTATATTTACGTGTTGAAGAAAGACTCTAAAACAAAGGTTTATAATAATATTTAATTTTTTTTCAGCAGGAAATAGGAGACAAAATGTTTGAGGAAAAATGCTATAAAAACTGTTTGCAATTGATTCTGCGCTTTGTATTTAACCCTCATGCTGATAGCTTTATTCACTTTTCCCAGAAAAAGTCATCAACAAGGTCATAAAAGCATTTACATTTTGCTTTGAATTTTATTCATGTAACAAATAAGCCAATTTTGTATATGGCTTTTAGATTTAAAAAATTAACTCTTGATAATTTTAATACAATCCTCAATAACATAAAAACATTTAAATCAAATCTCAAGGGAAGAATTGCTCAGTTATCTACAAATCCCCAAAGATACATAAAAACAGCTTTATGGTTAGCACATCTTATAGATATAAAAACAATGAAAACCTACGCCTATGGTCCCTCTGACATCAAAATGATATCAGTGACATATATACATAAACCATATTTACAATTATGACACATTTGTAAAATACATATACCTTTTACAATAGAAGAATAAATGCTACTGCTGCTCTCAAATTATTGTAAGAACAGGCAAGCATTATTTCCAATCTTATGTATCTTTCAAACAAACTGTTAACCTTTCTTTAGCCATATATATATATTTTTTTCNTTGACTGCATACCCTGGGACAGCATATACCCCCCAATGTATAAAAATCCCCAACTTGGCATTTTCATACCATGAAGGAATGGGTCTGTTGTCAAGTGATTCCCAATGTGCAGCATATGGATAGGGTACCTGAAAAATTGTTGAGGTTGGAATATTTTCTAGCAAATCTTTCTAAAAATGAGTGTGACTGATTCAACTTCCTGTGTAAATCCACACAGCTGGATCAATCTTTTTTATTTTTTTAAAGTTTTTTATAAATAATTTACTAAATATATTCAAAAATCCTTTAAAAACCTTTATCTTATATATGATTCATTGTGTTTCTGTTGATACATGTACATACAGATATCAAATGTCATATAAATTATAATCTGCACGTTTTACTCTTTAACCCCTTCATAATACTGCGTCAAAATACCACAGACTGAGACGCAGGTTCATGTATCTTAATTGTCAATAAAATGTGCCCGATGTCTTCCAAGTTATATAGGTCCCTACAACTTCAAGTGCACATTATATATGGACAACCGGTCCATGTTGATATCCATTTTGAGAAGAGAGGCATTAAACCAAGACGAAAATTTACTTCATGTCCATTCTGAATACTAATGTATTTTATCTACGTGAGGCAATGCTTTGTCTGGTATGTACACAACTCGACGCAAACGGATCTTTGTAATTTAGTAATATACTATTATATAGATCTACGGGCCCGAAACCCGAGCCCAAAGATCGAGCAGACATCACGCCCTACTCTGTCATCACAATATCAAAAGACTATATACTAATCGGTCTAACTATCGTAACTATATAGTCTACGTTATTATATCTGTGTGTGTGTTTGTGTGTATACATATTCACGGTTGAGCTTGCACAGAAAACAGAGCAAGTGTGGTTTGAAATCAGAAACCACATTCGAATGAACGTCCCTGAAGTTGAACACCCTACCGTTTGATCAAATTGTGCATCCAAGTTCGTGGTGTCAGCCTCTCTCTTCAACAAGTCCAAGTCTAACGGTGCCCTGACTACACATGGATAAAACACAAAAACCTGGAAAAGTATGAAAATTGTCTGTGCACACACGAACCCGACGATGTAACGTCGGAATCGGAAGGAGGCAGCCATGCGCCTGCCAGGTAAACAAAACATGCCGCGGATCGTGTGGGGGCGCTGCGGGTGGAGTGATCGTAACAGGTTGCTCGTGCTCAGCTAAACCCAAGGAGGAGCTATAGTTGCTTCCAGTACCGCAGAGAAACTATGATGCTGTCATCTTAAGCATTATGCGTTAGAGCACACGGTAGCAGACGTATTTAAATTATTCAGTTTCCATAAACGCATATTTGATCTACATCTGAAAGTTGGAAGTACAATCTGCTGCAGGTGCATATATTAAAGCGGTTGGCCGTTTGAGAACCCAAATTCTTTTTTCTTTAAACGCGGTTTTGTATATTTACGTGTTGAAGAAAGACTCTAAAACAAAGGTTTATAATAATATTTAATTTTTTTCAGCAGGAGATAGGAGACAAAATGTTTGAGGAAAAATGCTATAAAAACTGTTTGCAATTGATTCTACGCTTTGTATTTAACCCTCATGCTGATAGCTTTATTTACTTTTCCCAGAAAAAGTCATCAATAAGGTCATAAAAGCATTTACATTTTGCTTTGAATTTTATTCATGTAACAAATAAACCAATTTTGTATCATGGCTTTTAGATTTAAAAAATTAACTCTTGATAATTTTAATACAATCCTCAATAACATAAAAACATTTAAATCAAATCTCAAGGGAAGAATTGCTCAGTTATCTACAAAACCCCAAAGATACATAAAAACAGCTTTATGGTTAGCACATCTTATAGATATAAAAACAATGAAAACCTACGCCTATGGTCCCTCTGACATCAAAATGATATCAGTGACATATATACATAAACCATATTTACAATTATGACACATTTGTAAAATATATATACCTTTTACAATAGAAGAATAAATGCTACTGCTGCTCTCAAATTATTGTAAGAACAGGCAAGCATTATTTCCAATCTTATGTATCTTTCAAACAAACTGTTAACCTTTCTTTAGCCATATATATATATATATATATATTTTTTTTCCTACCCTATTTAATGTTAAAGTGATAATCTCAAATAAGATGTCCCCAAACCTTAATTTGAGGGTTCAATCTAAATTCAATCGGACTGTGCCATGAGGTTTTCTCAAGGAATTAATAAAACAAGTCACAGAGCTGACACAATAAGGCATTTGGAAATCGTGANCCTACCCTATTATATGTTAAAGTGATAATCTCAAATAAGATGTCCCCAAACCTTAATTTGAGGGTTCAATCTAAATTCAATCGGACTGTGCCATGAGGTTTTCTCAAGGAATTAATAAAACAAGTCACAGAGCTGACACAATAAGGCATTTGGAAATCGTGAAGAGATGCATCCATCTTCTTGCCAAAACTTGACCAACTTTCCTGTCATTCTTTATATCCACTGGTTTATAATCTAGATATCCTGGGTGAAACACTTTAGCAGAGATAGAAACAATGACCTTGCAGACAAGGATGAGGCACAACTGGTAATGTCACATCTGAAAAAAAAACAAACATTTTAATGGGTTAGCACAATATCACCTGAATAACCACCTATAATGTTTAATACCAACTTCATCAAGTAAATTTAATGATATTCAGATTTTACTTATTAGTCTTTGTAAAGAGCCTGCACGAGATATTCCTGCCAAAATGGATTTTCCTGGGGGAGGGAGGGGAGGGAGGGGAGGGGAGGGGGGGGAGGAGGCAATTTTCTCTTACTCCTTTATCACTGCTCAACCCATCCCTGCACTTGGACTTAATGTTTTACTACATTTTTAATTTAATAATTCACTTCTAAATAACTTGCCAATCTTTTAGAATGACATAGGACACAAGTCCTCCACCAAGCATGACTTAGTTTTCATTTCACAGCACAAGAAAAAGGTGAGTCTTTTGAATCAAGGCCCTGTTCTGTGCATAATACAACCATTGGGAGCTGACATGGCTACCAGGGAGGGTTGAGAAGATAATAACAATGCTAAGTACGCCTCAAAAAAAAAAAATAATAAAATAAATAAATAAATACTTATGTTCTAAAATATGCGATGTTTAGTTCTAGTAAACAGATTGGTGGTCTACCTTTACTCTACTCCATGTGCAAAAATCATTACTAATCCAGGTTCCAGTAATAAATCTTCTGGCATGTGCTGATTTTCACAAGACATAACTACAACTGCCTGTTTGCCTGCAAATATTAAATGGCACATATAAGTGACCAAATACATAAAAAAATAAAAATATAGATTATTACAAACATAAAAGCTGCAAGTAAAAACCAACTATTCCAATTCATTGCAAGTGAGAAGGGTAGTAAGTGATAAGCAAATGGTTCAAAAGTAAATCTTCTAGATCCACTTAAAATCTTACACATGTCAGAGATTTTATTTTCACAACAGGTGCTACAATAAGGAGTTGCTTTACCTGGAATTCTTTTGGTGACATACTGTTCATACTGTCTTCTATTTAGCTGTCTCGTTTCTAGAGTACTTAGTCCCGGTGGCCACCTTCTTTCATGAGCATTTTCCATGAGTTCATTTACAATGTGTGTTGGACAACCGCTGTCTATTAGCGCTCTTTTTATCACTGCTTGTAAGACTGTATCTGGAGTGGAAATCATACCACCCCAACGTGTTACCCTGGCTGAGGTCAATGAGGACACCCACCTGAAATTAAAAGGACAAACATTGTTTTAAATGTTCACTAGTTTTCACTGAAAATATTCCAGTGCTTAAGAGGGTCACATAGCTAAAAGTGGCAAGTATATGTATTTTAAAGTCCAATATACCAAACCAAAGTGGCTCATAAACACCCTATGAGGGATTTTTGATTCATGCAAAGAGATGCTACAATCAAGTGTATTTATGATGTCCAGGTCTGCTAGTTAGGTGGGGATTTTGAGACTTTTTATTTCAAGTCATATCCGGATACCCAAATCTTTCTATTGCTTTAAGGAAATATTAAACTGCATTATGCAAATGAATGTCAAGTTTAGTCATTTTTCTAGCTAACTAGTAAAACCAATATTTAATAAATTTTGGTAATTGGTATAATCTAAAACAGTCAAATACCCCTCTTCAATCCTGAATTCAGAAAAAATTCTAGTCTTGGATATTAGGTAATCATATTTTAAAATATTTCTGAACACAAGAACCCTTTATCATTTGCCACTATAAGCCCAATAAAACCAACAATCCAGATTACGTGATTTACCTATGGACATCATCACTTTCTATCTCTGACTGAATCTCTCGAATTCTGGAGCTGGCACCTGGCGCCCTCATGTTCCGCATGTACTCCTGCACGTAAAGCAATTTTACATAATACTTCAACAATAAATATTCAATACGATCCTTCAGAACTACATTAGATATCCTATTATCAAGTGTGTTGCATTACAATAGCAAACTGGATGTTTATAGATATAAATAATGGACAGTTAAGTATACTTTTGCTGTAACAAGTTTAACTAGTGAACGCTACAATAACATGTCATGCATCAGTCTTTAAATCTGCTTAAATTACGATATTGATTGACCACATTGAATATAATTTAGAATTATTTTGCTGAAGATAAAAAAAAAGCAAAAATACATTTTTTCAATTCCTTTGACTTAAAGAAAACTGTATCAGTCAGAAATTTTACAGTATGCTTATTCTTCTCACCTTCAAAAGCTGTATCTCTCTTTTCATTTCTCCCATTTGTAATTTATTTTCTGACAGCTCTGTTTGCATGTCTGCCATTTTACATTGCTGCTGCTGAACAAGTTGCCTCAATTCACGCACACAATTGTGATCCTACAAAAAAATCCAGTATAGAAATTCTTAGAATACTGATTTTATTTAGATCTTTTTTTTTTATTTTTGCATTACTACAAACTTAGGCAAAATTGTAAATTGTTTTTGTTCCCACCTCCCTTCTTCCTCACCAGAATAAAAAACGATTGAGTGTATTTTTTCAAAAATGTTGCTGCTAAGACACTGGCAGGAACAATGGTCTGATACCATCACATGCAATGATTTACATATCTAACCTTCAGTTCATCTTTGGGGATAATCAGTCCACATCCCTGCTCACAATGAACAGGTTTCTTTGGGTTGTGCTCACACTCTTGAAGGTGTGTCTGTAACATGTCCAATTTCACAATAGTTGTGCAGCCAAATCCAGCATTGTCACAAGCAATACTCAGTCTTGCTAACAGATTCCTAAGTATGCGAGGCACAGGTTTCAGCTGGTTTGGAGTGATAGAATTGCGATCTACTGGACAAGTTGGCTGACGGGTTAGCCACTCGTGAATACAGCCTGAACAAAAGGCATGCTCACACTGAGGAGCCTAGAAAATAGAGAAACTTTAAGGTAATAACATCCACATTCGATTCAATACAATTGTTTGATATTATATGTATCTTTGCTATAAACCAACATAATATTTATAATATCTTTATCACCATAAAATAAATTGACTGAGTTATTCATTAAAATTATGTGGAATTACAGCTTTTACTTTACTTTGTCCCTATATCAGTATGTACTAACAACATGTCAAAACTTAATGTAATGCAATGACAGCTTAATGTATAGCACAGGATTTTCCTTGAAAGATTTAATGCCATGCAAAATGCAGTGAGGCCAATCTTCAACACTATAAAGTAAATGTAATACTTACAAATTGCTGTTATAAAGCTAATAAAATTTACCTGTAAAGGCTCCTCTAGTACTCCACTACATATGGCACAGATCAGCTCTTCGTCAACATCATCTTCGAACCGATTTATGTCATAGCCCATCTTCAATCTAAAACCATTATTGGATTAGGTATGTAATACTGATACAAACTAAAATGTTACTTGATAACTAATAAGTACTGCAATGCATGAAATGTTTTGGCTGTTCCAAATGATTTAAATGGATAGTGTCATCTGGTCTTGAGTTAAACTTGATTAAATAGGATTATATTTTAAACATGTATAAAATAATCATATTAATATGTATATTTTTATGTACAAACAGAAATATAAATAACAGATATATAAATAACATAATAATTATAATAAAACAGGCTAAATATCATAAGATTTCCAATTGGTTCATAATTGTCTTTTTAATACTAATAGCTGCATTAAAATATAAATTACAGGGCTGAAGGAATGTGTTGTAAAGCAAAACTGGGTGTCAGAAAAAATGTAAATATGTTCACCTTAATATTTAATTAATGCATGGCAGGAGATTAAGCTTGGGTTAGTGAGTATCCAAGTAAAATAATAGTTTTATGAAATTATGGTGAAAGGGGATCTGATACTGTCTTTGTGGAATGCCATTGCTAGCGATTGTTGTCTGGTTATTGACATTGTGGCAACCTTCAATCAATCATGGGCAAACTAACAGTTCACTTAAATGATGGAAATTCCCACATGAATTGTATATTTCATATGATGAATCTACATAGAATGTTGTTACTAAATTAAGATTCCTGGTGTGCACTGAAAGTGGAAGAGCGCTTCTTTTTGCTCGACTTGCTCAGACTCGGTGACACAAAGTTGGTGAATTAATGACTTATAAAACCCACATAGTAAGAATACTTTTATCACCAAAACCTTCACCTTGAGGATTAAGCACAAAAATATAATTTAATTATACTTACCGGGCTTATACCCGAAAAATCCGCGTTGAAAAATCACTATTGAAATTTTGTTGACGAAAGGGAAATGTTGGTCTTTATTTCCTGTTGTCATTTGCGCATGCCCAGTACAAGTCTCGTGAAAAGTGTGGCACGATTGGTTGTTTTGACCCTACTTATTGTAATTTGCAATTACCTGAAATAGCAAGTGTTATTAATATAAACTGAAATAGCAAGTGTTATGAATGCTACATTGTCAGTGTACAACATTATGCCTAGTCTTTACAAAAGACATAAAAGGAGAGTGAATATTTTTCTGTTCTACAGTCGAGCGATATTAAATACTGAGCATTTATGAAGTCCCGAGAGGTAGGCCCGAGAGGTAGGCCTACAGGCCTATTAATTCATCTATGACACAATAAGGATCAATTACAAACGAGGAAGGTCCTTCATTTGAGTGGAGAATCTAAAACCTTCAAATAAATAAATAAATAAATAAACAAATAAATTTAAATAAAAAATAATATTAAATAAATAAAAAATAAAATGAAAATAGATGAATTGATTAAGGAATAAAACTTTCCAAAGAACACACACACACACACACACACACACACACACACAAAAGAATAAAATGCTAAAATTTAAAGTTGCAAATAAGTAATTAAATATGGATATAAAACATTACAGAAATATAGGGGATGGCACCCCTCGGCCAACATATATACCAGTACACAGTTGCTTTTCCCGTTGCAAATCACTTGGAACAGTACTGTACAAGTAGGCCTACACTATATAATGCGTTTTGAATGTCTTAACATTTATTTATTAAAATAAACTTGTAAACCGCGCATATAAACGGATACGATCTAGCATTTTTCATATTTGTACTCGACCTCAACATGTAGACCTACTTTTCCTTATCAGGAAGTTGACCTCCACAAACAAACGCCGGTCAGGTCGGGTCTGTATTTTTGCTGACGCCACTTCTTATAATGCACCGTTAAATTTCCTTTACCAAATATAGACAATGAAACGGGGGTGGTGAAATAATTAGTCAAATAAAATTTAGTTGTTGAATAAATGCACAGATACAGTATCTGTCTATAAAAGGATGCTGAACATTCTACTTATTTTGAAAGCTGATCGATACAAAGTCACTGCTCGCTGCGGATTACACAGCGTTATTTATAGCAAGTGCTTTTCAAAGTGAGCGCAACCAAGNGATGTTTAGTTCTAGTAAACAGATTGGTGGTCTACCTTTACTCTACTCCATGTGCAAAAATCATTACTAATCCAGGTTCCAGTAATAAATCTTCTGGCATGTGCTGATTTTCACAAGACATAACTACAACTGCCTGTTTGCCTGCAAATATTAAATGGCACATATAAGTGACCAAATACATAAAAAAATAAAAATATAGATTATTACAAAAATAAAAGCTGCAAGTAAAAACCAACTATTCCAATTCATTGCAAGTGAGAAGGGTAGTAGGTGATAAGCAAATGGTTCAAAAGTAAATCTTCTAGATCCGCTTAAAATCTTACACATGTCAAAGATTTTATTTTCACAACAGGTGCTACAATAAGGAGTTGCTTTACCTGGAATTCTTTTGGTGACATACTGTTCATACTGTCTTCTATTTAGCTGTCTCGTTTCTAGAGTACTTAGTCCCGGTGGCCACCTTCTTTCATGAGCATTTTCCATGAGTTCATTTACAATGTGTGTTGGACAACCGCTGTCTATAAGCGCTCTTTTTATCACTGCTTGTAAGACTGTATCTGGAGTGGAAATCATACCACCCCAACGTGTTACCCTGGCTGAGGTCAATGAGGACACCCACCTGAAATTAAAAGGACAAACATTGTTTTAAATGTTCACTAGTTTTCACTGAAAATATTCCAGTGCTTAAGAGGGTCAGATGGCTAAAAGTGGCAAGTATATGTATTTTAAAGTCCAATATACCAAACCAAAGTGGCTCATAAACACCCTATGAGGGATTTTTGATTCATGCAAAGAGATGCTACAATCATGTGTATTTATGATGTCCAGGTCTGCTAGTTAGGTGGGGATTTTGATTTTCAATCCTGAATTCAGAAAAAATTCTAGTCTTGGATATTAGGTAATCATATTTTCAAATATTTCTGAACACAAGAACCCTTTATCATTTGCCACTAGAAGCCGAATAAAACCAACAATCCAGATTACGTGATTTACCTATGGACATCATCACTTTCTATCTCTGACTGAATCTCTCGAATTCTGGAGCTGGCACCTGGCGCCCTCATGTTCCGCATGTACTCCTGCATGTAAAGCGATTTTACATAATACTTCAACAATAAATATTCAATACGATCCTTCAGAACTACATAAGATACCCTATTATCAAGTGTATCGCATTGCAACAGCAAACTGGATGTTTATAAATATAAATTATGGACAGTAAAGTATACTTTTGCTGTAACAAGTTTAACTATTGAATGCTACAATAACATGTCAAGCACCAGTCTTTAACTCAATATTGATTGATCACATTTAATATAAATTAGAATTATTATTTTGCTTAAGTTAAAAAAAGGGGGAAAATACATTTTTTCAATTCCTTTGACTTAGAGAAAACTGTATCAGTCAGAAATTTTACAGTATGCTTATTCTTCTCACCTTCAAAAGCTGTATCTCTCTTTTCATTTCTCCCATTTGTAATTTATTTTCTGACAGCTCTGTTTGCATGTCTGCCATTTTACATTGCTGCTGCTGAACAAGTTGCCTCAATTCACGCACACAATTGTGATCCTACAAAAAATCCAGTATAGAAATTCTTAGAATAATAATAATTTTATTTAATTTTTTTCATTTTTGCATTACAACAAACTTCTGCAAAATTGTAGATTGTTTTTGATCCCACCTCCCTTTTTCTTCACAAAAAAAAAAAAAAAAAAAATTGAGTGTATTTTTTCAAAAATGTTGCTGCTAAGACACTGGCAGGAACAATGGTCTGATACCATCACATGCAATAATTTACATATCTAACCTTCAGTTCATCTTTGGGGATAATCAGTCCACATCCCTGCTCACAATGAACAGGTTTCTTTGGGTTGTGCTCACACTCTTGAAGGTGTGTCTGTAACATGTCCAATTTCACAATAGTTGTGCAGCCAAATCCAGCATTGTCACAAGCAATACTCAGTCTTGCTAACAGATTCCTAAGTATGCGAGGCACAGGTTTCAGCTGGTTTGGAGTGATAGAATTGCGATCTACTGGACAAGTTGGCTGACGGGTTAGCCACTCGTGAATACAGCCTGAACAAAAGGCATGTTCACACTGAGGAGCCTAGAAAATAGAGAAACTTTAAGGTAATAACATCCATATTCGATTCAATACAATTGTGTGATATTATATGTATCTTCACTATAGCCCCACATAATATCTTTATCACCATAAAAATAAATTGACTGAGTCATTCATTAAAATTATGTGGAATTACAGCTTTTACTTTACTATGTCCCTATATCGGTATGTACTAACAACATGTCAAAACTTAAAAGTAATGCAATGACAGCTTAATGTATAGCACAGGATTTTCCTTGAAAGATTTAATGCCATGCAAAATGCAGTGACACCAATCTTCAACACTACAAAGTTAATGTAATACTTGCAAATTGCTGTTGTAAAGCTAATAAAATTTACCTGTAAAGGCTCCTCTAGTACTCCACTACATATGGCACAGATCAGCTCTTCGTCAACATCACCTTCAAACCGATTTATGTCATAGCCCATCTTCAATCTAAAACCATTATTGGATTAGGTATGTAATACTGATACAAACTAAAATTTTACTTGATAACTAATAAGTACTGCAATGCATGAAATGTTTTGGCTGATCCAAATGATTTAAATGGATGGTGTCATCTGGTCTTGAGTTTAACTTGATTAAATAGGATTATATTTTAAAAACTCGTAAACATGTATAAAATAATCATATAAATAAGTATATTTTTATGTACAAACAGAAAAATAAATAACAGATATATAAATAACATAATAATAAAACAGGCTAAATACCATAAGATTTCCAATAGGTTTAAATTGTCTTTTTAATACTAATAGCTGCATTAAAATATAAATTACAGGGCTGAAGGATTGTGTTGTAAAGCAAAACTGGGTGTCAGAAAAAATGTAAATATGTTCACCTTAATATTTAATTAATGCATGGCAGGAGATTAAGCTTGGGTTAATGAGTATCCAAGTGAAATTATTTTAATAATAGTTTTATGGTGAAAGGGGATCCGATACTGTCTTTGTGGAATGCCATTACTACTAGCGATTGTTGTCTGGTTATTGACATTGTGGCAACCTTCAATCAATCATGGGCAAACTAACAGTTCACTTAAATGATGGAAATTTTCCACATGAATTGTATATTTCATATGATGAATCTACATAGGATGTTGTTACTGAATTAAGATTCCTGGTGTGCACTGAAAGTGGAAGAGCGCTGCTTTTTGCTCGACTTGCTCAGACTCGGTGACACAAAGTTGGTGAATTAATGACTTACAAAACCCACATAGTAAGAATACTTTTATCACCAAAACCTTCACCTTAAGGATTAAGCACAAAAATATAATTTAATTATACTTACCGGGCTTATACCCGAAAAATCCGCGTTGAAAATCACTATTGAAATTTTGTTGACGAAAGGGAAATGTTGGTCTTTATTTCCTGTTGTCATTTGCGCATGCCCAGTACAAGTCTCGTGAAAAGTGTGGCACGATTGGTTGTTTTGACCCTACTTATTGTAATTTGCAATTACCTGAAATAGCAAGTGTTATTAATATAAACTGAAATAGCAAGTGTTATGAATGCTACATTGTCAGTGTACAACATTATGCCTAGTCTTTACAAAAGACATAAAAGGAGAGTGAATATTTTTCTGTTCTACAGTCGAGCGATATTAAATACTTCAGGCATTTATGAAGTCCCGAGAGGTAGGCCCGAGAGGTAGGCCTACAGGCCTATTAATTCATCTATGACACAATAAGGATCAATTACAAACGAGGAAGGTCCTTCATTTGAGTGGAGAATCTAAAACCTTCAAATAAATAAATAAATAAATAAACAAATAAATTTAAACAAAAAATAATATTAAATAAATAAAAATAAAATAAAAATAGATGAATTGATTAAGGAATAAAACTTTCCAAAGAACACACACACACACACACACACACACACACACAAAAGAATAAAATGCTAAAATTTAAAGTTGCAAATAAGTAATTAAATATGGATATAAAACATTACAGAAATAAAGGGGATGGCACCCCTCGGCCAACATATATACCAGTACACAGTTGCTTTTCCCGTTGCCAATCACTTGGAATAGTACTGTACAAGTACACTATATAATGCGTTTTGAATGTCTTAACATTTATTTATTAAAATAAACTTGTAAACCGCGCATATAAACGGATACAATCTAGCATTTTTCATATTTGTACTCGACCTCAACATGTAGACCTACTTTTCCTTATCAGGAAGTTGACCTCCACAAACAAACGCCGGTCAGGTCGGGTCTGTATTTTTGCTGACGCCACTTCTTATAATGCACCGTTAAATTTCCTTTACCAAATATAGACAATGAAACGGGGGTGGTGAAATAATTAGTCAAATAAAATTTAGTTGTTGAATAAATGCACAGATACAGTATCTGTCTATAAAAGGATGCTGAATATTCTACTTATTTTGAAAGCTGATCGATACAAAGTCACTGCTCGCTGCGGATTACACAGCGTTATTTATAGCAAGTGCTTTTCAAAGTGAGCGCAACCTACAGCACATACAAGGGCATAAACATCTTGGTGTAATTCTGCGTACGCTATTCAAACACTTCAAATCATTGGTAGTTTGATGACATAAAATCAATCATGCAGTCTCTATACCTAATATGGATAATGAAAACGCAGTTAGTCCCAAATACGGCATTTGATAACCGATTTGATTACCAAAAAAGGTGCCGAATTATTATTGATTCGTAACGTTAAATAGTGGTTGATTCATACAGGGGTATTTTTTAGCACACCTGTGACAAATTTCCTCTTTAAAGAGACTTGTATTTGTGACTGCGTATAAATAGTCCTGAAATACATCGCTAAGAGTTATACTGGACCGAAAAGCGAATAGAGAGAGGGAAAACGTTTCAAATTAATTAAACTACGCGTGCAAGTTTACAGCAAAAGTCAAAATGGTAAGGTATTTGCTTTTCATGTTAAGTTAACGTCATGTTAAGTTCACGCTTATTGTTTTAAAATATACTAATGTGGAAATAAGATCTTTTTGTGTTAATGGGCTTCTTATCTACCACGATCTACTAACGAGAGGTATGGACAGATACATTGTAAATCATAATTGTGAAGCCTGCTTCTTATTACCGTCCTCGTGGCCTAAGGTTTCAGTTAGTTTGTGGACTGTTCGACTCTTCAACTATGCCTTGATTTTTTCAGTCTTCTGGAGTTCAAGTACTAGAGGAATGCCTGACAGCCTATAATGACATCAAAAAGAATAAGAAATATGTCTATGTCATCTTTAAAATCGTTGACCATAATGGCAAGGCGCTCTCCGCTATTAGTGTAGATCGTACTAGCTGCAGTACTGGCCAAAAAGATCAGGAAGAACAAGGTTTGTTGAAACTACTAAGCAACTTTTAAAATATGACAAATAAGTACCCGTTTACTAATTTTAAGGTCTGTATTGGGAGTGATAACTACTGGCATGGGTAACTTAAACGTGCATACAGTGTAGTGCTTTTTGTAGGCCTACATTTTATGTACTCGTAGTCTCTAACAAAGTTCAATCTTTTAATTCTGAACATGCTCTTAGTTATTAACAATAAAAAAACTTTCATAACTTTGTTGTTTATTGGATTCAAAATTTCATATGTTTAAATTGTATTGCAGGTAAGGCCTATCAAGAATTCCTTGATTACTTGAGAGATACAGAAGAAAAAAGAGAGTGCTGTTATGCTCTTTTTGACTATGGGTACACACAAGAAAATTCAACATGGAAGAATTCTGTCATTTTTTTCAGCTGGTAAGTAATCATACCTTAATACATTTATGAGAAAAATCTTAATGAGCTTCAATTAATATGTGCTTCTTATGCTAAAAGATATATATGCCATATAATACTTAGCCAACTTTTTGATTTAAATCATGTATTCTAGTCAATATTTAAATTAATAGTTTAATTGGAAAGGTTCATTAAATTTATCATTGTTTACTTATTAAAATAAATTATAATAATTAATATTTAATTATCCTGTTGTTGTTAAAATCTCATCCTGCAGCACTGTTCTCCTACAATGAGCTATGCAGTTCATTGACTGTACTAGTTATAATGATAAATGCTATTTCAATAATTTTGTAGTTTTCATATTTATGTATTTGTAAGATGTACTTAACCATTTTTTTAAAATTATTTTACATTTGTATATCTTTTTTAATTCAAGCCCATGCCTTTATTGAGCCAATTTTTGTTTACTGGTTTGACAAGAAGTTTTTTAATGGTGCAGGGGGAGGTCTTTGTTCATACTGATCAGAGAAATGAATAATATCAGCTAAGGAGAAATGTTGGTTTCTGACTTCCTTTTTGGGGTTGGGGAAGATTATCATGTTACTCAAGTCCATTGTTTTATTTCGTAGGAATCCTGAGAATGCTACAATTAAACAGAAGATGTTGTATACAGCCAGTGTCAAAAACTTCCTTGCAAAATTGGAAGGAATTGGCAAGACCATTCAAGCCAACTCAATGGATGATGTGGCCGAATCTACAATAAAAGCCAAGTGTTTGAAGTCATCACGTGCTACCTAAAGTCAGACTGATAAAAAGACAACCTTTTTTAAGAAAGAAGACAGAATGATTTTATAATGGAAAGAAGAATAATGATTTTTACACTCACCAGGAAAGATTAAAATCATGTGCAGTTTTTTTCTTTATATTCCTTATTAATTTATTACATTCTTATTAACTGAAATTGTACAGTTGGATGGCTTGTCCTGCCTTGGAGTAAAGTGGTGTTACTAATTTTTTCTCAATCTTAAACAAATGTGACTATGTCTAAGGGACACCATAATTTTGTCTGGTAAAAAAATAAGTTTTTTTTTATTTCTGATAATAAAATATGGCTTTGTATGAAGTGATCTTGTCAAAGTGGACAGTAATACTAGTAAAAATGCTGACACTTAATGGGAAAAAAGTAATGACATTTGCTTTATTTCATCACAATCAGTCATATTCCAGAAAATACTAATATATCCATATAAATAACAAACAGATACATCCAGATAACTCTAACAAGATTAAATTAAATTTTAATTCACCATTAGCATTGTTTGGTCTTTAGCGTGAAGAACACATTTAAGCCAGTTCAGCTGACAGCAATCTAGTGAGACTCCCGAAGGAGATATATATCGATCTATATATCTGTGGGAATGGTCTCCTAAATGTCTCTCACGCCTACTGAATCAGTTAGGGGTAAAGGTAATTACCCCCTAACAGCTTTACTAAGCGTGACAGACATTTAAGCTGGTCAAGTTGACAGCAATTTAGTGAGACTCCCCAGGGAGATAGATCGATCCAAATATCTGTGGGATGGCCCTTATAACTTCTATATGTGCACGATCATTCCCCAAAGTTTCATTTATCTTCGTCGCTTTGCATATAAATTATGTTTTTTTAATATGCTCTAAATTGCCTTTTGTGGCATCGGAGACACTTTCATACGTCACGCAAAATTGTCAAATACTCAAACACATTCTTCCCTAGGGATTTCTCTGATATTGGCTGTGATTGCTGCCATCATTTGGCCTTCCTTTGAGGGTTGTTCTGGTACGCATTATTCTTGAGATATCCCCACAGATAAAAATCTGTTAAAAATCGTGTTAAGAACGTCCCTTCAATGCAAGCAGTGATCGCGCCAACATCAAAAAGTGGTCCCGAGTGGTCGGCGGGCGCAGTCGGCACTTTGGGCTGCAAGCCTGCGTCTTACGCTGTTTGAACTACACCTGACCACAGGGTGCGCTAGTAGTAGTCTGTTGCAAAAAAGTTGAAACACACAGTGTGGTTTTGTACAGTATTTTAGTGGGCCCTGATATCAGAGGGGAGCAGCTTATTACAAATTGGGGTTAGGATTAGTCGGCAACTGGAGCCAACCTTCCGATTATCGGTACGTACCCAAAATAACCGAAATGATGAAAATAATGAAATGATGAAAATAAATTATTATACTGAATACAGTGTATACCAGCATTTTCTAGTATTCATTGCTTCCGGTAATATTAAAAATAGTCATTAAAACTGTAACAAACTTTAATAAAAACGATAAAAAGGGTGTTTTAAAGTTATTTTGATAATTGCTTGGTGTTTATAATGAACATGTGAATTGTTTTAATTTCAAGGCAACAAGCATAATTTAATTAATAAATCAGCACACACCATTGGGTCAAAAATGTTCGACCTCAATTTTCAAAGGACACAAAAGATGTTCAAACAGAGCTAAAAAAAAAGTGCAGCAGAACTAAAGGATTTCAAGCAAACTTAGGTTATCATCAAGTGTTAGGTGAGAGAGCTGTCCATCCCGTTCATTTCGGGAGTCTCAAAGCATTGTAACATATAAATTCAAATATACTGAGAGGCAATGGGAATAGTAGTACAATGACTTATGTTATAAATGTTTGTCGTGAATATTCTTTCATTCCTCTGCGCCTTTAGTATTTAATGGCGGTGGTTATTGAAGAAATAGTGATACTCTCAAACATGCATTTGCTTCTACGCCTTGTATTAGTAAAAGCTCGATCTTGGGACTGCACCACACATATGTCAGTTCTGTTGCGTCTACTACACCCGACTGTGCCCAACTGCCAAGTGAGCATGCAGGAAAACAGTTCGCACAACGTCGAGCAACGAATTTTTGTGAAAATTACACCAGGTATGCCTCAGAGGTTGTTACTGCAGCAAGGGTCCCTTTGTATTTTTTTCGTTACCCATGAAGGCCACTTTATATTTCCCGAGAAGCGTGAAATGTTCATTTCATTTCATTTATCGTGATTCCTGAAGCACCCTATTCCCGTGACTCGTGAATGCGACCTTTTCTTCTCCGCCCTTCGCGAAACGGTGTCATAGTACACTTTGACTCGTGATTTTCGGGATTTTAGACGCATATAATTAAATGAGTTACATATGTATAAAATTTTATTTACTGTGATTTGTGAATCGATAATTTATTCCTCGTAAGCCACTACCCCCCCCCCCCCAAGGGACCCTCTGCAGTGTTACTGAAATTGTTCACCAATGTTTACGCTCAAAACACATAGAAATATGACTGAAATCCAATTGTTGTTGAAATACACACCTTTATTCTAGAAAAATTACACGTGTGTCTACCAAGTAGTAGTCTCATATCCCCATGATGCACCGCTTTCATGACAAAATTTAAAAATCGCTACCTAACAACAATACCCCCCTTAAAACAAACTCGTTGTTGAATTTCTAGTTGTAAATCAGTTCTTACCAAATTCTAGAATTTTACTCAACGCCTCACTTCCACGATCAATTAGAAACGAGAAAGGTCCCTTATTTAAGTGAGGAATCTAAAATTAAAAAAATAGATGAACTGATTAAAGAATAAAACTTGCTGAAGAGCATTAAAAATAGAATAAAATGCTGAAACATAAAGTAACAAACTAGTAATTAAAAAATAGATGTACTAAGTAAAACATTAAAGAATTAAATAGAATGGATAGTAGGCCTACCCCCCTAATATTCAACATTATATAAATCATCGTCCACAGTTGAATTTCCCGTTGCCAATCGAGTGGACAAGTAGGCCTATGAATATCGTCGGTACCTGTATCACACACACTATATCACACACACACACACACACACACACACTATAATATATTACTATTAACATTGAATCTTATTTATACTTATAGGCCCCTACAACATCTACATATATGTCATTGTAAATTTAAACTTTGTTCTTTATTCATTCTTATTTACACCTATATATCTATGCCTTGTGCGTTTAGGATGTTTTAACATTTATTTATCAAAATAAACTTGTCAACCTCGCGCATGCGGATACGATCTAGCATCTTCCATATTTGTACTCGACCTGCACGTGTAGACCTACTTTTCCTTATAAGGAAGTTGACCTCTACAAACAAATGCCAGTCAGGTCGGGTCGGTAATTTTGCTGACGCCACTTCATACATTGCACCGCTTCACAACTTTACCAAATATAGTGTATTAGACGGAGCTGGTGAAATAATTGGTCAAAAAAGTTTTTAAATTAATTTACAGACACAGTGTCTCTCTATGAAGTGGTGCTGGATATCATACTTATTTTTGAAAGCTGATCGATACATCAGTCACTGCTCGCTGTGGCGGATTACACAGCGTTATTTATAGCAAGTGCTTTTCAAAGTGAGAGCGCAACCTGCAGCACATACAAGGGCATAAACATCTTGGTGTAATTCTGCGTACGCTATTCAAACACTTCAAATCATTGGTAGTTTGATGACATAAAATCAATCATGCAGTGTCTATACCTAATATGGATAATGAAAACGCAGTTAGTCCCAAACACGGCGTTTGATAACCGATTTGATTACCAAAAAAGGTGCCGAATTATCATTATTGATTCGTAACGTTAAATGCTGGTTGATTCATACAGGGCAATTTTTTAGCACACCTGTGACAAATTTCCTCTTTAAAGAGACTTGTATTTGCGACTGAGTATAAATAGTCCTGAAATACATCGCTAAAAGTTATATTTGACCGAAAAGCGAATAGAGAGAGGGAAAACGTTTCAAATTAATTAAACTATACACGTGCAAGTTTACAGCAAAAGTCAAAATGGTAAGGTATTTGCTTTTCATGTTAAGTTAACGTCATGTTAAGTTCACGCTTATTGTTTTAAAATATACTAATGTGGAAATAAGATATTTTTGTGTTAATGGGCTTCTTATCTACCACGATCTACGAACGATAGTTATGGACAGATACATTGTAAATCATAATTGTGAAGCTTGCTTCTTATTACCGTCCTTGTGGCCTAAAGTTTCAGTTAGTTTGTGGACTATTCGACTCTTCAACCATGCCTTGATTTTTTCAGTCTTCTGGAGTTAAAGTACTAGAGGAATGCCTGACAGCCTATAATGACATCAAAAAGAATAAGAAATATGTTTATGTCATCTTTAAAATCGTTGACCATAATGGCAAGGCGCTCTCCGCTATTAGTGTAGATCGTACTAGCTGTAGTACTGGCCAAAAAGATCAGGATGAACAAGGTTTGTTGAAACTACTAAGCAACTTTTAAAATATGACAAATTACTAATTTTAAGGTCTGTATTGGGAATGATAACTTCTGGCATGGGTAACTTAGCGAGGAGATTTAAACGTGCATGCAGTGTAGTGCGTCTTGTACATTTCATGTACTCGTAGTCTCTGACAAGGTCAAACTTGCGAATGTATTTAATTCTAAACATGCTCTTTGTTGTTAACAATTAAACTTTGTTGTTTATTGGATTCACAATTTCATATGTTTAAATTGTATTGCAGGTAAGGCCTATCAAGAATTCCTTGATTACTTAAGAGATACAGAAGAAAAAAGAGAGTGCTGTTATGCTCTTTTTGACTATGGATACACACAAGAAAATTCAACATGGAAGAATTCTGTCATTTTTTTCAGCTGGTAAGTAATCATACCTTCATACATTTACGAGAAAAATAAATCTTAATGAGCCTCAATAAATATGTGCTTCTTATGCTAAAAAGATATGTACGCCATATAATACTTAGTTACCTTTTTGATTTAAATCATGTATTCTAGTCAATATTCAAATTAATAGTTCAATTGGAAAGGTACATTAAATATGTGTCATTGTTTATTTGTTAAAATAAATTATAATAATTAATTTTTATTTATCCTCTTGTTGTTAAATCTCAACCTGCAGCACTGTTCTCCTACAATGAGCTATGCAGTTCATTGACTGTACTAGTTATAATGATAAATGCTATTTCAATTATTTTGTAGTTTTCTTATTTATGAACTCGTAAGATGTACTTAACCAATTTTTTCTATTATTATTTTACATTCGTGTAGCTTTTTTAATTCAACCCCATGCCTTTATTGAGCCAATTTTTGTTTATTGGTTTGACAAAAAGTGTTTTATGGTGCAGGGGGAGATATTTGCTCATACTGATCAGAAAAACGAACAATACCAGCTAAGGAGATATGTCGGTTTCTGACATTTAAAGGCATATGCTGTATTCATTTGTTAATAGTTAACTTCCTTTTTGGGGTTGGGGAAGATTATCATGTTACTCAAGTCCATTGTTTTATTTCGTAGGAATCCTGAGAATGCTATAATTAAACAGAAGATGTTGTATACAGCCAGTGTCAAAGACTTCGTTGCAAAGTTGGAAGGAATTGGCAAGACCATTCAAGCCAACTCAATGGATGATGTGGCCGAATCTACAGTAAAAGCCAAGTGTTTGAAGTCATCACGTGCTACCTAAAGACAGACTGATAAAAAGAAAACCCTTTTGAAGAAAGAAGAAGATAGAATGATTTAATTTATAATGAAAAGAATAATGATTTTCACACTTACCAGGAAAGATTCAAATCAGTAGAGGGCATGTGCAGTGTTTTTTCTTTATATGCCTTATCAATTCATTTCATTCTTATTAACTGAAATGTACATTTGGATGCCTTTAGGGGAGACCGGGGCTAGTTGGCCCAGTTAGACACTTTTTGCTTTGTAGAGCAAACTAGGAATGAGTTGGAGTAACAAAACCGGTTTGAAAGTAAGCACCATGAACTAAGCTACGTATGTATGCAACGTCAGTATTTTTCAAATATAATGCCAGATGGCTCACAATTTGACAAGAAACACAAGTGACGCCACAGGGCAAGTTTGCCCCAGGGTCGTGGCAAGTTGGCACCCTATACGAAAATCACATGTAAATACCTTGAAATACATTTTTATACACTTTTAATTTATTAAATTGATTTTTGAGAGTCTTTGATTAATAAATAGTTCAAATGAGGCAGATTTATTGAGATTTCTGTACGTCATGTATATGTGTTGTTTTGTTTTAATTAAGAATAAAATAATAATGGTATAAAGTAGGTTTTAAAAAAATGAAAATGTATATTAAATTTTTGTTTAAAAAGAAACTAATAAATTCAGTTTTAAGCTGGTAATTATTTAACAAACTATTGAGTTTGTTTCAACAATGGTCTGTAGCTCTGTTGTGCGCAAAGGATTGTGGTCAATATGAGGGTCCAACTTTCCTGAGTCAAGAGGGTCAACTAGCCCCGGGTGCACATTTTTATTAATTTTAAAGGATTGTAGCCATTTATGGTGTTAGAATGAACAACGATGATACATAACTGTGAAACTTGAAACAATGAGCTTCAGTTTGATGCCCTATACATATACATGTGCTATATTCGATCAAAAACTTATGAAAATAGATTTTAAAGTCTTTTAAATAAAATTACTTTAAAGGGATAACTCTTCGTATGAGATCTATATTTTACAATAAAAACATTGTGAATAACTCATAGAAATATAATATATTTTGTTGTACCACAAAAACGGCAGTTATAGCTATTATTCTGATATCTGAGCTTGTCTTAAGACCATGTGACCTCCATTGATGGCTATACTCTGTTATAATCTCTTAAGAGATTATAACAAAAAACCAAACTTTTTAGAAAAAAACCCAAGGACTAACTCTGAATGTAAAAAATGGATTAACCATTGGTAAGTATGGGAAAATTGTTGTTTACTCCAGGAAAATTCTTTTTTTGGCCAAAATGAAGAGTTATTATCCCTTTAAGATGCTAAATTCTTTCATCTGGACTCACTGCCTAAATAAAACTTCTGTACAACTGACGCTTTCTTAGCACTATTGGATACGTTTACTCTACTAAATGATGTGACCAATTTTTTTTTGCCCCATTGTTACTTTTTCATAAATTGATGGGGGGGGGGACAACTTATCCCGGGGTTCAACTAGCCCTGGTCTCCCCGGGGCCGTAGTGATAGTCCGAAGGTTCAATAGTCCGAAGGTTCATTGGTCCGAATGTTCACTATAGAACCTTCGGACCAATGAACCCTTGATTAAAAAATCGATGAAAATGCTACCACTTTTCGGACCAATGAACCTTCAGACCAATGAACCTTTGGACTATCGAGACGCCCCCCGTCTCCCCTATCTACCTTGGAGTAAAGTGGTGTTACTAGTTTTTTCAATCTTGAACAAATGTGACTATGTCTAAGAGACACTATTATTTTGTCTGGTAAAAAAGTAATTGTTTTTATTTTTGACAATAAAAATGGTTTTGTTTGAATTGATCTTGTCAAAGTGGAAAGTGAAGCTAGTAAAAATACCAACACTTAATAAAAATTTTTTCATTTCTCCCTAACTATAAATTCTGATGCAAAAAAAGGAAGAATGGATGTAAGTAAAATGTGTAACTAACATAAGGCTTTGTGAAACGGGCCCCAGGCCCATGAAAGTTCATGTTCACACTTTGAAAACACCGGAACTGAAAAAAGCCAAAAAAACAGCATAACTTTGAGAAAATGGCCCGATCATGCTGATTTTCGAACTTGACCTGTGTATTATGAATATTCATCACTTCGAAGGCAAAAGGTAACATGGTTTTCCACTTATCATGTTATTGGTGAAAATGCACAGCGATGGTGATGCAGATGACGGCTCTATGTACAGACACATCTGTGTACATAAAAAAGAGAACACTGTAAGGCAATCTCAAAAGTACAAAGAAAACTCTTTGAAAACAAAACATCAATCACTGAAGATTTAATTTTCTAAGTGGTTAAATAATACTTGCATAGATGGTCTGTAATGTACAGGCAACAAAACTAAAATTTGTAGATTTTTTTTTGTTTGTTTGTTTGTTTGTTTGCAGTTCGTTTGGAAAAATATCTAACATATATTGTCTTTTAGATTGGAATGTAGTACAACAGTTATTTTTATTCCATTTCTCTCCACCTACATCCTTTTTGATGTTCATCTTATTTTCCAACATGCAAAGGTATCATTTCATGTCATAAACTAGCTTTTTTAGAGTGGGGTTTCTTCGCTAGGATTAACTGTTCTGGAAACTTGCACCTGGTCAGTCACATTAGCTAACAAGTTAATGGCAGAAAAGTCTGCCTCAGACACAGTGTGAACCTCCTGCTCTCCATACACTATCTCGTACTGTACTCCTTCTGCATCCTTTATCAGGTAGGAGACTCCTGGAGTAGGAGCTTGTCCCCCATCTTCAATAACATATGTCACTGCTCCTTCTGCATTCTCGTCCACTTCCACCTGGCCCTCTGTGGTAGTTAAAACAGTGGTGTTCACCTCTGTGTGACTTTTTTCATGCATACGACATCGAAATCTTTCAGCAAACCCGACTCCGCAGTGCCTACACTTAAAAGGCCTGTTGCCAGTATGGATGTTGTCATGTTCTCGCAGAGCTGCAGGTGTGGTGAATCCCTTTCCACAGTGCAAGCAGGTGTGAGGCCGCTCTCCAGTGTGGGACATCATGTGATACTTAAGCGCAGCTGAAAGATAATATTTTTCATTTTACTATAGTAAAATATGCAAAAATGTACTATTTGTTTAAAAATGTGAAAGTTTTTTTATTTGGTGTGTGTGTGTGTGTCCAAGTGTAAGGCCACCAGTTAAAGTAATCATGATGGTAAACCTCCCCTAGTCCCTTCTGAGTCCTTACTTTTTCTTGAGAAATGCTTGTGGCAGACGTTGCACTGATATGGCGACTCTCCAGTATGGATGAAGGAATGATGCTGCAGAGTTTGGCGTGAGTTGAACGACTTTCCACAGACACCACAGAGATGAGCACGGACTTCATTGTGTATATCCATGTGCTGATTTAGTAAGCCAACTCGAATGAACCCACGTCCACATACGCTGCACCTGTGAAAAATAACATGATGCATTTGTTATACGTATTATCATATCAAACTATTTATCATAAACATAAATATGGTGCAATTATATCTGAAGAAATAACACTGTTATACATTACATAGTGATTAAATATATCAAATGTGTTCTTTAAACAGCTACAATTGAATACACTGAAATACCACATGGAACTGTCAATTATCCACGATCTGTTTACAATGACAGAATTCAGGTCACTATGCAAATAACATAGATTTCTAATTAATGGGCTATCAGCCAGCTAAAAAAAAAACATTCATTTATTCTCAATTAAAGTAAACAACAACCTGGCAGGCCATTGTGAGAATATTAAACCAAGCCTATTGGCCAAATGCTACCTATTACTCACACATAGGGTTTTTCTCCGGTGTGAATTCTCATGTGAATTTTGATGTACTTCCTTTCTGTGAACCCTTTGCCACAAACTGTGCAGCTGAATGGTTTCACACCCTTGTGCTGGGCTATGTGACCTGCAAAAGACATACAGGGCAGTCAAATTATAGGACAATCAAACTACAGGGACACAGTACTCCACCTAATTTCTTTTTTGATCTGATGAAATTCTAAACCTTGCACAAGAAATCCCAAAGAATATTTTTATTCCAACTTATACTTAATGTTGAACACAAAAACATTTTTGTAAAACTTAAAATTTTTAGAATGAAATATCATAAAACAAAACTGCAAAGCACTTTTACTGATCAATCAAACAAGCCAGCAAGATTTTTTGCTGTTTGATTTTTAGTTCTCATAAGGTTGTAGCAATCATGTGAAAACTTACTTTGAAATGCTACTTCCCCTCGAAATTCCTGGCAGCATGTTTCACACTTGAACCTGACCTTTTCCTGTTTTGGTTTAACTGGAAACAATATTTAAAAAAGTAGGTTGCACAAGTACTTTTTTATAATTAAAAGACCAATTTTGTAGTATTTTTGTGATCTTCATTCCATATTATTTCATTTTAGGGACAATTAAATAATTGCTCATGCCAGTTACATCCTAAAAAAAGAAAAAAAATTAAACTATAACACAAATAATTTGGCAATTATGGAAATCTCTATTTATGCTAAAAAACCTACAGAAAGTATCACTACCCCCTAACAAGTAATTTGACTATACTGGTTTTTAACTTGGGTTGAAATTTTATCTAACTTCTATCTCTCAGTTAATTTTGAGAAAAACAAAACTATGTCTTTTAATTTTTTGGCAAAAATAGTTCCAGCAACAACATGAACAGACACAATTGCAAGTAATCAGAATACATACAAAAACATACAGTCTGCATATAGAAGTATTATATGCATGAAGATAAAGTATATATGTATAATTATGTAATAAGAGTGACCAAATGCCTACCAGAAGTTCCAGCTTTCCTTTTCTTTTTTGTATCTCTCGTTTCTTCTGTAGCATCATTTTCTTTCTTCAATATCTCAACATTTTCTTCTGCTTCAGCTTCATCATTAACATCATCTTCCTCATCTTCATCAAAGTCATCAGCATCCTAATTGAATACATGTGATGCATGAGTCATTCATTTATTTTGGTTTGATTACAACTGGTACCTGATTTCCCCTCTGACTACTATGTGTTTGTGTAAATCACAGCTGAAAAAAACCATTTAATTTCAATTTTGAAAGAGGTAACTTGATATTAAAATAATGGCAAAATAAAAGTTTGCATGTCATGATCCAATACCAGGATAATTTTACTGATAATTTACTTACGATTTTTCTGCTTTTGTCTGCCTGACTACAAACAGCACAGCTATCTACATACTTTCTGACATCATTGGAGATACCAGGCCAAAAGTATTTGGCCTTCAATTCATTATAGGTAAGATCTCTTCCCACATGATGATCTGAAATGGAACCACAAAAATATCAACACTAAAATAAAAGTTGCATTCAACTACATATCCCTGGTATATGCAAACAATCTTATGCTTCATAACCATTATTTATTGTTGAACCAAACTCTAACATATACACTCTGAAATGAGTTGAAAACTTGCTGGAACCACCAAGTAGGTTCCATATGGTGCAAAGTTGCATAGGCAGCCTGGAGATGCAGGTTAACCTTAAGTTAAAGGTAAAATTATACTTAACATGATTTAACACAAATTTAACCCATCTTTAGCAAAATTCCCACAATTGCATGCCAAATGAATCTCAAAGGGTTTGAAAAGTAGCATTCCAATAATCACCATGTTCACTTCCATGATGTTCTTTTATCAACCTCAGTTGCTCCTCTTCATTTGTCACCACTTTCCTGAACACCTTATCCCCATCTAAATCATATTCAACATATGAGAGAGTCATAGTGGACTCATCTAAAAAATGGTTTTCTGCCTTTCTGCGCAGGGCTCTCTTCTGATCCATACTATAGTGAGAAGGATAGGTGCCATTCAACATGTACTGGATAAGGGCTGCATAATTCTCCTGCTGATTGGAGACGGCAGTATCTCTCCTTAAACACATCTGAGGTTTTAAAAAATAAGAGGAAGAAGTTGTTTATGATACAAATTTAAAGTAAATGCATGTAATAGGGTACGTATACTCACATGTATATATAAGTATGTAATAGTGCATTGTACCTTAATATAAGTAGCTAAAGTATATAAATAGATGTAATGCATATGTATAGCTGGTGTTAGCGCCCTTTTTGTGTCACATGGGTCATGTGACCCTATACTAAAAAAAGTTTTGGCGCATAATTCGAGAGAGATACACCAGAGATCGGACATGAAGAAAGTACTGTATTTCATGTAAGATCAGTCAGAATAACGACTTTTTGAAAGGACAATACATTGTTGTCGATGCAAAAATGGCGCAGTTGACAGGATCTAAATGCTCAGCAGTCAAACGTGACTTTCCTGGACTGTAAAATGTGTATAATTTTGTTTTCTTTCATTGAGATCGGATACACCTTTCTGCTGACACTGTGAGCTCTGATCAAGCACAAAGTTTTACAGGTGAGCTCATGACTTTCTAATGACAAAGACAGAAATACGATTAAGAGTCTGAGAATTAAACTATATCTATTCGCCGATCTAAGATGTGATTCCTTGATGTATTGGAATCAGGGGCGCAACTTCGAATCTAAAGTAATCAAAGAGTTGTGTAAATTACTGGGAATAGGAAAGTCCAGAACAACCCCCATCACCCAATGGGGAATGGAGTTACGGAACGTTTCAACAGAACTCTAATAGGCATGATGTGTACACTCCACGATGACCAAACACTTGAGTGGAAAAGGTATGTACCTTCATTAGTTCACTCTTACAACTGCACAGTGCATGAGTCCACAGGCTTCAGGCCGTTCTACTTAATGTTCGGGAGGGCCCCCTGGCTTGCAGTAGATGTAATTTTTGGACTGTACTCGAAGGATGAGCACAAGGACTATGGGTAGTACCCGGGGTAGGGGATCAAGTTTTGTTAAAAAATGTAGGCTTAAAAGGGAAACACAAATTGGCTAACAAATGGAGAAAAGAGGTATATGTGATAGTTGACCAGAATGATCCTAATATACCAGTGTATAGGATCAGACAAGAAAATGGCAAATGGGACATAAAAAATGTTCACAGAAATTTACTTTTACCTTTAATTTTCCCCATGGATTTGAAGGAAGAGAAGACCACTAAAGTACGTTTCTGTAGACCCAGACATGAGAATGATTTTTCAAACAGAGGACTCTGATGATTCTTCTGGGATACATTATGTTGTACGATGGTCTGAACAAATGATCCCTGGTGAGGCCTGTAGTAGTGAAACAGTTAGCATAGAGGAGGAGGATTGAGAGGATGACAGTGAACAAGAATCGCAAGTGGAAAGCAAAGGTGAAGATTTGCAGCAAAATGATGCACCAGTCCATCCTAGGCGATAGATAGATGGAAGAGGGAAATTATGTGTTTTCACAGATTGTACCAGAAAGGTGGTCCATATCTGCGTCTAGTCTACTTGACATTTACTGTACATTCATTCAATCAAGTGAAAATATGTTCAAACAGATGGTGGAGTTACTGAAAGAAAGTTGAAATGTAAACTATAACTTGTATTTTATGATTTATTTTAATTGATGATAATAAAAATGCTACAGCAATTGCATTGTTTTTAATCATTTTCCTCCCTAAACCCAAGTAATATTATCGCGTTTCCTTGATCGATCCCCTACCCTGGGTACTGTGAAGTTTCCATTACCATAGCTTGTACAATAATTACATATACTTATATACACTATCTTCATCCATACCTTCTTTGGTGCTGGAGCCAATTGTCTCTTCATACAAACTTGGCACTTTTTCACATAGTCCAGCACATCTTTCCTCAGTCCTCCCCAGCAGTACTTGGTACTCACAGCCAGGTATGTCCCATGGTCAGACAGGTGGCCACCTGGGACAGAATATGTAATTAATTTCTTTGGTTTAGTTTGCATGGTTCCAGAGCAGTAAAATATGGGTCAATAATATCAGAAACAGGGTATCTGCCTGCCCTCTTTTATAGGTAAAAACATTTCTGTGAACTTTATTTATTGATTTTATTTCAAGAAATTTGTTTTACTTGGTTTGGATGTATGAGTTCTTTCAATGATATTATTCCTGTCATCAACATCTTCTATCACTTCACGCAAGTTCTCAGGATCTTCCTTCTTCTCAGCTTTCTCATTTTTTACATAGTATAACCTAAAAAGAAAATCAAACATGGTTAATTAATTTTCTTAATATTCAACTTGCTAAATACCAAAAGCAACATACAACAAAAAAATTGACTAACCTGCACTTTTTCTGAAGCCTAAGTATGATGTATTTAATGTTTTTCAAGGGCATTTGTGTAAAAAAAAATATAATTGTTTTTGTGGTTTTTAAGTATTTTGAGGAGAAAAAAAGACAATTAAGAAATTATTCTGGGCCACTAAACAATATTCTTATGCTCACTGACCAACACTATCAAGTTTCAAACTTACAAGTATCCTACAAAATATATTTTGCTTCCCTTGACTGAAGCTGAGTAAAGTACATGGTATCACACATACCTTACTTTTATTTATTTATTTATAATTATTATTTTATTATTTTTTATTTTTTGTCTAGAAAAATTGCCATTTTAGAAGAACCATCTGCAAAAAAGGAGAATAAAGAAAAACACCATCCACATATACCTTGAAATCTATAAAACTTTTTAATGTTTAAAGGGGGATTAGAATTTCTTTGCAAAATTAAATTTAGACTTACTTCTTGTAAAGGATTATGTATTTTGGTAACATGATGCTGACTTTCTCTTTCATTTTATCTGTATAATTCTCTGGGTATGTGCCATCAGTCAAGAACTGTTTGATCCCACTGTGGTAAATGTCAGCAGATATCTGCCAACTGCTGGGCGTCTGAACTTTTGGACCAGCCTTATTCTTTCTCTTCTTTCTTTTCAGACCCTGAAAGGCCAATCATTTCAGTTTAGTTGTCCAACTCTGATGTGAATTTGAAAAAATAAATCTTACACAGAGCAAAAAGATAGATGTCTATAAGAGATCATTTATATGATATGATCACATAAATAAATTTCATTATTACTTTTTTCGTATCTTCAGATTCTAAGGTGAGTTTGAATGAACAAATAAATCTGTTCTCTCACAATCATTTGAAAGATTAAAGTCAATATATGTTATCAGGAAACAGCAGAATTCCAGCTGTCTATCTCCTATAACAAAATGGTATAACTGAACAGCAGTATGTGTCACCATGGTCAGAGTGGAGTGATGTAACATGCAAAAAGTTCATAGCAGGCCTTTCAAACATTTTTGAAATATTACAAGAAAATTTTCAAGTCTTAAAACAGATAGAAACACCTTACATAACAAAGTAAACTCAAAATTGTAATTGTGTATTGATAATAATAAAAAAATTGCCACAAATGTTCATACTGAATTGGAAAGAGACAAAATCCTAAGCTTTATGTTTTAAGTGATAAAAGTTACAAAAATAAATATATAATATTCTGCACCATTATTTTACAAAAATACTTACCCTTTTTGGTTTCTCAACTTCAATCTCACTCTCTGTCAATGCTGTCTCAACAACTGATTCTATTATTCCTTCCTTTTTTAACTTTTGTTCCATTCGACGTTTCTTGGATGCGGTAGTGCATTCCTCTTTCACCTTCAGTTACAAAATTAAGAAAACAGTACATTTAACAATTTTTTAATTTATGAAAAACCTATCAACTTTAAAACACATCCACTTCAAACAAATACTTTTCTAGGTTTCTCATCAATGTCATCAACTTTTAGCACGCTTTAATTATTAAAATTGCCTTTTTTTCCTTCTTGATGACTTCAATTGCAAATTAGAGAATTATTAATTCTTTGAACAAAAAATTATATATGTGCCCCACCTTTACTGCTAAAAATTTCTTGCATATTCCCATACATACATTTAAGGCAAAACATAATTAAATATAGTTTCAGTGATGAAACAGAAAATGACATAAGAAAATTAAATGTAGGAAAATATCATATTCCTGCACAAAAACTAAATTCACCACGCCTCCACTAACCAGTTTCTGCAGTCCTCCCTGTATGTCTAACATTTTCTGTACCACTGTGTCAATCTGTTCAGCTGACAGGGTAATGTCAGAAGATCCATCACCCATTGAGGGGATCATATCAGTTGGTATCTTGGGATCTCTAAATACAAATAAATTATCAAAGTTCACTTTGTTACTTATAGAAATAAATTAATATTAGCTAGGTGACCATATTTCAAGTTCTGAAATTAACAAGATTGTTATGGTTCATGTATATGTATATGTATATGTATATGTTGATACCCCATTGAATGTTGAGAGGGAACCATTTGTGGAATTTTCGCCATCATGAACTTTCTTTTTATTAAGGTTGTTTTTGATAAGCTGGACTACTATAGTACATGTACATATACCACACAAATATGAATTTAGGCAATGATAGTAATTGGCAAGTCTTACAAAATCAATTAGCAATGGTGGATCAAGGGAAGGAACATAGCAGGTGTGTGTCCCTTCCATTGACTGTACATGTAAAGTATACGTACTTGTTTTCCCCCCCCCCCCCCCCCCCCACACACACACACACACACACACACAATAAAAGAGAGGGGCCACAAGCAAGTGAGACCAAAGAAATCAAGACGAACTATTTTGACATTTGTTCAGTTACACAAACGGGAAAAGCCTAGCTAGGACACTGCGATGTTAGCCACCGTGTCTTTCAAAAGGCCCGTGTTTACAGGAGTCGATGAACGATCTGGGATGATGTTTCATGTGACAAAATCAGAAAATTCCAAAATCTAATTCTTTTTTTAATTATTTAAACGGTTTGTTGGCTGAAGTAATACTCTAATCTTAATTCTTATCCCTTAAGTGACACAAAAACCGAACTTCAAACGTATATTTAGCTTTGTTTTCCCAGCCTTATATGTACTCAGCACAAGTTCATTTCCTTATAAGGAAGTTGACCTATATACTAGCAAGTGCTGCCGGTCGGGCCGATAAAGCTTACACCCCGCAAAAACATTAAATTGGACACTTCGATTTTATTCCACCATATATAGACAATCAAAAACCATATTTTAGAGGAAAAACAACAGATTATTTTTATGATCGAAAAAGGTGTTAAATATTCTATCGACTTGGTCGATTCATTAATCACCGCTCTGCGCAGGGTTACACAGCAGTTATTTATAGCACATTTTCTGAAAAGACTCAGTGCGACTGCGTATAAATTGTCTTGAAATTCGTCGTCCATATTAGTTTCACGCGGGAGCACAAAACAGTAGTAAAAATGGTAAGCTAACCCTTTCATCTGAAGTTGAATTTTACGTTTTAATGTGGAATTAGAGCTACTTTTAAGTATTCGACTGTGAAAATTGGTTTGCATAGCCCCGTTTTGTGTATTTCATTAGCAATACTCCCAAACGAATCAAAGGGCGGTTAGTTTACAATTATGTCATGTAGTTCTATTTTGTAACCAAATTGTATGTTTAGTCGTCAATATCAAGTGTTTCAAGTTTCAAACCGAACAGTTATTTCAAAGGTTTATCGTCAGATTGTAAGTCAATAATTTTTCAGCTATAACATAATTTATTTGCAGTCTTCTGGAGTTCAAATTTTAGAGGAATGCCTGACAGCCTTCAATGACATCAAAATGAATAAGAAATATGTATATGTCATCTTCAAAATCGTAGACCATGATGGCAAAGCAAATTCCGCTATTAGTGTAGAGGAGACTGCTGCAGGCATAAAAGAGAATGACCAGGAATTACAGGGTGAGTATTGACTACTAAAGGCGTTTTTCTAAGTTATAATCTTTCATAATCAATTGTGGCCTTTTATTATAATACTTACCACAAGAGAATAGGGTGGTGTATTGCAGTGAAGTTATCCTTCCAAAGTCTAAATCTGGAGATTAATTTTTGTATATTTGTCTTATAAAGTTTTTAATCAATTGTAGTGAAACTGCAGATTTTGTGTACTTTTACACAAACTCACCCAGGTGTGATTTTCTAGGCTTTTAAAAACATTAAAACCTGACTATAAATTCCATTATCAGTTACATTTATACTGCATCTGTGTCAATTTACTGTATATATATATATATATATATATCGTCACATCTGACCAGCCATTCAGTACCATATCTCAGCATATACTTCGTCTTCACTTGTTTCTACCAAATTGTCACCTGTAAAGCTGACACTTAGCAGTATTGTCATGTGCAGGTCACTGCATTGTGACATGCATATGCAATGCATCGACATGACATCCAATGTTTTGTTTGACGTAATTTAGCAGGTATAGGATATTCTGAAAATGGTTTTGCTGGGCAAATATACATTTTTCTTTTTTACAGTTTTCACACCAGTAGTCACAAGGTCACCATATGATAATTATAAAAAGTAAAGATACTTGCAATAAAAAAAAGTGTTCACTCCCTACAAGAATGGCTCATTCTAGACTTCTAAACTCATTATTTTTTATTGAACTGCAGATAAAGCCTATGAAGAATTTAGTGAAAAACTAAGAAAGGTAGCAGAGAAAAAAGAGTGTCGTTATGCAATATTTGACTATGGGTTCATGCAGGCCAATGCAACATGGAAGAACACTATTATTTTTTTCCAGTGGTGAGTAATTATAAAATAAAGGACTGAAATTAATTTTGAATTGGGGGTATTGTAGTTCAGAGGAATGAGCAATAGCAGCAAGAACACTTGCTATGAAATAAAAAAGGTTGGTTGGTTCCTTACAATGAAAATTTAGTAATGCATTTGTGGCGTTTTTTTTTTACCATGTAGAGTAGAACCATAGGGTACCCTATTTATTAATATTATAACGACCACTCAATAGGAATATACTAATTGGAAGAATATTTGACTTAAAAATTCAGCATTGATCTGTAAAATATACACGTTCAGCATTGAAAAGATTGAGTCATTACAATACCAAACTGTTGAAAGAAGTGAACAAAATGTAACTGAAGTACATTGTTTTATTTCCTAGGAACCCTGACAATGCTGCAGTTAAACAGAAGATGTTGTACACAAGCAGTGGCAAAGATTTCACTCCAAAGTTGAAAGGACTCGGCAAGAAAATTCAAGCCAACTCCTTGGAAGACATCGCAGAATCTGAAATTAGGGCCCAGTGTTTGGATTCATCACGTGCTACCTAAAAACAGGCTGATAGAAAGACAATATTCTTGAAGAACAATTAAACTAGCATACATTAAAATCACTAAAGAAGTTGTGTAGAGTTTTTTCATTTGCCTTATTAATTTACTTCATTCTTAATTAATCAGGAATAAAAACATCAATTTATATATATTCTTGATACTTCTCTGCATTGAACTCAATCTTCATGTGTCTAAGTGTGTTATGTTCATAATCTGCACAAATGTTATTACAGTTTTTAAGCAACTTCAGCTAAAAGGTAAAAATCGGGTTCACAAAATGCCAGTAGTTTAAAACTAGTCAGATTATAAATAAAAATGTGCAATTGATGAAGTTTTCTTGCAAAATTTCTCATTGCTTCCAGTGGCTATTTAACATCCTACATCCCTAATAATTTCATTGAATATTTCATTAGGAAAGTTTTATCTCAAAGGTAAACTGGCATAGAGTAAGGCTATTTGACTATAGAGATGTATTTGGCTGATGTCTTAATTAGTCTTAGAAAAGGGTTGTCTTAATTTTCCAACTTAAAAGTGTAATAGGCACCCATATTTTGTCTGGTAAAAACTGACGTGTATAGCTTTTTACTTTTGATAATAAAAGATGACTTTGTGTAAAATGATACAGAGAAAAGGATAAAAGTATCTTAGACAAAATTTGTGTGTACAGTGTCAGTATTTGCTAACAATGTGTAAAGGCCTATTTCAAGATCCAGTACACCTAAATGTAAATAAAAGTTTCATGTCTATTTCATTTAAAGTGTTGTTTCAATGGCAACTTGGGAGAAGGGAAGGGATTGATCTATTGGATGCAGATTTAAATATTTCATTCTTAAAATCCATGTTGCTTAAACAAAAATCTTAGAATGGCATTTTTTAACTCCAGTTTATATGTTGTGTGATCAAAGCATATCTTGGTGGTAATGAAATTACCTCTGCCACCTTGAGGGCAAACTATTAGGAACTTTATTGTAAAAGAAAATGTTTCTGTATCAAAAAAAAAAAAAAAAATATATATATATATATATATATATATATATATATATATATATATATATATATTTAAAAAGGTGAAACAGGATATCTATGACACCGGTCTAAACCGTCTAATAAAACTACAAAACGGAGATTAAGGTTTAATTCAGCAATGGGAATATTGAAAAGACTGGAAATCATGAAGCCATGCGGACATTGCACAATAACGCTGTTAACTGCCATCTCAGGTGGAGGGGTGCTCCCATCTTTTTATGTACAGAGAGTTTTTACCATGCGCTTTTCATTGTAAACAATAAATAACATTAAAAAGGAAATCTAGCTGTGACAATCAACCTATTGCAATCACTGTTATCTGGGACTTGCACAGATGTATAAAATTGCAAGAATGTCACAAAGGTGTACCTTATAAACTAGTTAAAATACACATGTACATATCATACTGTTATCACAGGGGACACCAGGTCTAGGTTACATCTCCAGCAAGTAATACAACGACTAATTTGAAAGTCTGTTTTCCAGTGATCAACTAACTGATTTATCTCTGTTAATTTCTCTGGATGGGAGATCTGGAGTCATAAATATATTACTATAGCACGAGATATTGCTTGGCAGCAAAAGAATACACTCAGGCTGCCTGTGAGGCAATGTGAATGAACAATGACTGTGAATGCAATTAGAACAAGGCAGCAAAGCTGTCAAATGTACAGACAAAAAGCAGGAAATAACTATGCACAAAATAGGCTACTGTCAATTCTGATGCAAAAGTACATTATGTTGAACTGCAAATTCAACATCAAATTTTAATTATGCTGAACAGGTAATACCAATGTAAGTAAAATGTGTAACAAGCATAAAGCTTCAGGCCCATGGGAGTTCAAGTTCACACNTAGTTCTATTTTGTAACCAAATTGTATGTTTAGTCGTCAATATCAAGTGTTTCAAGTTTCAAACCGAACAGTTATTTCAAAGGTTTATCGTCAGATTGTAAGTCAATAATTTTTCAGCTATAACATAATTTATTTGCAGTCTTCTGGAGTTCAAATTTTAGAGGAATGCCTGACAGCCTTCAACGACATCAAAATGAATAAGAAATATGTATATGTCATCTTCAAAATCGTAGACCATGATGGCAAAGCAAATTCCGCTATTAGTGTAGAGGAGACTGCTGCAGGCATAAAAGAGAATGACCAGGAATTACAGGGTGAGTATTGACTACTAAAGGCGTTTTTCTAAGTTATAATCTTTCATAATCAATTGTGGCCTTTTATTATAATACTTACCACAAGAGAATAGGGTGGTGTATTGCAGTGAAGTTATCCTTCCAAAGTCTAAATCTGGAGATTAATTTTTGAATATTTGTCTTATAAAGTTTTTAATCAATTGTAGTGAAACTGCAGATTTTGTGTACTTTTACATTTACTCACCCAGGTGTGATTTTCTAGGCTTTTAAAAACATTAAAACCTGACTATAAATTCCATTATCAGTTACATTTATACTGCATCTGTGTCAATTTACAATATATATATATATATATATATTGTCACATCTGACCAGCCATTCAGTACCATATCTCAGCGTATACTTCGTCTTCACTTGTTTCTATCAAATTGTCACCTGTAAAGCTGACACTTAGCAGTATTGTCATGTGCAGGTCACTGCATTGTGACATGCATATGCAATGCATCGAAACGACATCCAATGTTTTGTTTGACGTAATTTAGCAGGTATAGGATATTCTAAAAATGGTTTTGCTGGGCAAATATATGTTTTTCTTTTTTACAGTTTTCACACCAGTAGTCACAAGATCACCATATGATAATTATAAAAAGTAAAGATACTTGCAATAAAAAAAAGTGTTCACTCCCTACAAGAATGGCTCATTCTAGACTTCTAAACTCATTATTTTTAATTGAACTGCAGATAAAGCCTATGAAGAATTTAGTGAAAAACTAAGAAAGGTAGCAGAGAAAAAAGAGTGTCGTTATGCAATATTTGACTATGGGTTCATGCAGGCCAATGCAACATGGAAGAACACTATTATTTTTTTCCAGTGGTGAGTAATTATAAAATAAAGGACTGAAATTAATTTTGAATTGGGGGTATTGTAGTTCAGAGGAATGAGCAATAGCAGCAAGAACACTTGACTATGAAATAAAAAAGGTTGGTTCCTTACAATGAAAATTGAGTAATGCATTTGTGGTGTTTTTTTTTACCATGTAGAGTAGAACCATAGGGTAGCCTATTTTTTAATATTGTTACTACCACTCAATAGGAATATACTAATTAGAAGAATATTTGACTTAAAAATTCAGCATTGATCTGTAAAATATACACATTCAGCATTGAAAAGATTGGGTCATTACAATACCATACTGTTGAAAAAAGTGAACAAAATGTAACTGAAGTACATTGTTTTATTTCCTAGGAACCCTGACAATGCTGCAGTTAAACAGAAGATGTTGTATACAAGCAGTGGCAAAGATTTCACACCAAAGTTGAAAGGACTTGGCAAGAAAATTCAAGCCAACTCCTTGGAAGACATCGCAGAATCTGAAATTAGGGCCCAGTGTTTGGATTCATCACGTGCTACCTAAAAACAGGCTGATAGAAAGACAATATTCTTGAAGAACAATTAAACTAGCATACATTAAAATCACTAAAGAAGTTGTGTAGAGTTTTTTCATTTGCCTTATTAATTTACTTCATTCTTAATTAATCAGGAATAAAAACATCAATTTATATATATTCTTGATACTTCTCTGCATTGAACTCAATCTTCATGTGTCTAAGTGTGTTATGTTCATAATCTGCACAAATGTTATTACAGTTGTTAAGCAACTTCAGCTAAGATAAAAATCGGGTTCACAAAATGCCAGTAGTTAAAAACTAGTCAGATTATAAATAAAAATGTGCAACTGATGAAGTTTTCTTGCAGAATTTCTCATTGCTTCCAGTGACTATCTAACATCCTACATCCCTAATAATTTCATTGAATATTTCATTAGGAAAGTTTTATCTCAAAGGTAAACTGGCATAGAGTAAGGCTATTTGACTATAGAGATGTATTTGGATGATGTCTTAATTAGTCTTAGAAAAGGGTTGTCTTAATTTTCCAACTTAAAAGTGTAATAGGCACCCATATTTTGTCTGGTAAAAACTGAAACGTGTATAGCTTTTTACTTTTGATAATAAAAGATGACTTTGTGTAAAATGATACTGAGAAAAGGATAAAAGTATCTTAGACAAAATTTGTGTGTACAGTGTCAGTATTTGCTAACAATGTGTAAAGGCCTATTTCAAGATCCAGTACACCTAAATGTAAATAAAAGTTTCATGTCTATTTCATTTAAAGTGTTGTTTCAATGGCAACTTGGGAGAAGGGAAGGGATTGATCTATTGGATGCAGATTTAAATATTTCATTCTTAAAATCCATGTTGCTTCAACAAAAATCTCAGAATGGCATTTTTTAACTCCAGTTAAAGAGGTTTACATGTTGTGTGATCAAAGCGGATGCACTCCTGATGTATTAAAGACCATGGCATATCTTGGTGGTAATGAAATTTTTTTTTTTTTTTTTTTTTTTTTTTTTTGACACAAATATTTCACAAATACAGCATATNACGGCGACGGCATCGCCATCGGCGACGACAGACGCAGGTGATGGCAATATGTACAGACACATCTGTGTCTGTACATAAAAAGGCAAAAGAAAAGGGATAAAAAAGGGGGAAATAACAAGAGGCAGCTTTTTTCTTACAATTCACCAGTAAGAATTTTAACAATCTCGAGTCAAAATTATTTAGATTTAGTTTAATACTTGTCAGGAAACCCTTGTTAGCCCAAAAGACCGATAGCTCACTATTTTCATTTTATCAATCTGACAGTATTTTAATTGGTCGTGACAAGTAGGACTGACATTTTTGCCATGTCTGGCATTCTTAGCACAAACAACATGTTATTGGGCACGGTAAATCATAATGGCACAAAAGAAGGGATGGGTACGTTTTTCTTTTAGATAAGATTTTGATTTAATTTTTTTTCCTCATTTGCAAGAACCAAATTACGTCATTGGACACATAGCATCTGATGGAGAGCTGTGGCATATATATATTGCATTTGCTGGCTTGAAAATAAAATGTGCCTTGTTTGGATGCTTATGTTAAAACAAGTAACATAAAAAATTACATATGCAGGATTAATGTTTGTTCAAAATATTTTGGTCAAGAAATAAATCATTTTATCATCCAAAACTTGTCACATTTATAATGGAATTCAGCACCGTTATTTAAACACTCCGAAATCCAGTCTCATTTAGATCAATTTTTAAAAATAACACATATTGCCCTTCAAAGACTGGTTTTCCTACCTTCCATACAGTAAATAGAATGGGGAATATTCTGTTTGGAGAGATCTGGAGATTCTGTGTGGTAAAAGTGCCAGGTCAAGATGTTGGTCCCAAGCAAATGGACTGCTGGTTACAAGCTTTCTTAATGCATCATGAATGGCTGAGATTGTCCCTGTAAAAATTGACAAACAATAGCTTTAAAAAACAGTACGCAGAACATGAACATTTAATTGCTCAAAGACATAATGGATAATATGGATAATGAATAACAGTTTTATGATGATTGTTTGGTGAGAAAAGCACTTGAATGTATATTAAAAGCTTTCTTGGGATGTGTTTTGATGCGTTTCATAGACTGGTTGCAACTACTGATGAACAGAAACATTCTCATTGTCAGTTATTGAAAAAATAGTCTCTGGAAAATCTCTTTAAAATGGCACTGCATAAATGCATACCTTTGCCCTCCTGGGATGGTTCCCCTATGTCTATCTTGTACCTGGGATCCCCTATAAACTGCTGTAACCTGTGAGACACTTGGGAACAGAATGTTTGACCCTCAGATGTCTCAAGGCACTCCATCATACCAAATCTAGAACATAAAGAAAATACTCTAAGTTTTCTTCTTTTATTTCTTTTTAAAAGAAAACCTGTAGCCCTGTCAAAATATTGCAAAAAATTATAGTCAAAGAAAAATTCATGTATCCATTCACTTCATTTTAGCTAAAGGAAGAGCATACTAAGGAAGAAAATCTTTAACAAGGGAAAATCTTTAGCAACAAGAAGCATCAAATGTTTTGGACAGTTGTATGGTAGCGGAGTATCACCAAAATTATGTTTTTGCAGAACTTCAATAGGTACTTAAATTGCAACAGCAATAAAAAGGCCACGATGGAGATGGATTGGGCATGTGACCAGGAGGGAGAAAACAGTAATTCCAAAAGCACCATAAGGATGGGCACCAGAAGGTAAAAGTCACAGAAGAAGACCTTAAGAAACATGGAGACGTCTTTTTGAGAAGGAGATGAAACCACAAGGATGGACGTGGGAGGATAGTCAGTCAGTCAGTCAGTAAGTACAGCACTTTAAAATTGATTTTTTGGCTCTTTTCATTTTTTTTTTTTCACTTTTCCCTCGTAACATCTGTATGAAAACATACCTTGCAATATATTTGAGCAGGAAGAGTGCAACAGCAGCTGGAGATTTAGCTTGGACCCCAGCAGCCTCTGTCCACATGGAGAACTTATCTACACAAACAAGAATGTAGCAGCTTCCTTTGCTACTCCTGGTGAAAGGCCCAAGGAAGTCAAATTTCACCTTAAGAACAAAACAAAAAACACATTATACTTAACACATGTACATAGCGATATCATGTTTAAAACTTCAGTAAGAGAGTTAATAAGCATACCTTAAATTTATGGTATTCTTCAAATTGATGCTTTTTAAAGTTTCGAATAACCCCAAGCTTTAATGGTCCAAAATAACACTTATCCAAGTCTTCTTTGGTATGACCCTTATAAAGAAATTTTATATCAAAAATATTTGTGGTGGAAATTACTGTTTTTTGTGCATATGGCCAGTATCTTTTGAACCACTGAGTAATCCATCAGCCTTTAAAGTAATGCAACTTCAGCAAATGAACCCTTACATCAACTTTTTATTTTAAAACTTGGCAAATTTTCCATATAATTTTGAACCCCCAAAAAATTCTGAATAGTAAACTTTCAAATAATCATAATTCTAATGGCACCTGAAACTAAGTTTAACAATTTAGCACACTACAGTTAATCATCTACAAAACCAAATGATTGTTTCCAAATTAATCTATGACTGAATGTTTATTTAGCTCTTATACAATGGCAATCTCTCACTTCTCAAACGCAAAATGTTGTAAAAAAAAAAACAACTACAATATACCTTCTGCCAACAGCGAGATGCTGGAGAAACTCTATCATCTGCTGGGAATACATCATGCTCATTGTCGTCTACAACTGTATTCTGACCTGCCCCTCCATCTCTGCTAGTCTGGCAGTGCATGCATAGCCGTATGAAGCGTTTACAATCCCCCCACATCCCCTTCCAATAATAATGACTGTTAAGCTCCTTTACTGTTCGATCTATGCCAGAGTGGACTCCTGGAATGCCAATCAAAAATATCTGTTAATTTACACAAATGGATGATGAAGAATCACTGCTATATTGCTAGATCTAAAGGATCCAATATCTCCACAATGGACCTTGGGTTAAATGGACTGTAGGAGTGGAGGGTGTGTCTCCATATATTAAATGAAATTACGAGGAGTACATATAAGGCCCAGATAACATGCCACTAGTGGCCCATCAGTTGCGCTAGTACTATCTGTTATCTGGGGGTTTATATATGGAGATTTTATTGAATTCGTGAAAAATGCTTAATAACTTTCAATTGGAATTTTGGCATTATGGAGGACTATTATAACGTAATTTTACGTGGTTTTTAGATTCAACAACCAAGCGCGTATCTAAGAATCCGTATTACTGCCAGTGGTATTATAATTTGCGTGGGCTAATGATAACATACTACATGTATATAATAAGAAAAGTAGATCCAAGTACTGAACAAGGATCACTCGGGCTGCACATTTTATAAAGATATGTTACCAAAGCCTTACCATTAGAATCTATGTGGCACTCTAGAAGAGCTTCTCTTTTCTCTTCTACAGTTATCAAAACTTTTCTAGCTTTGCTTGCCGCTCGTTCCTCAGGACTCATTCGCGCCCAGTTCCGAGTGTACATAAGGACTCCATCAACAAGGTGCAGATCTTCAGCACGCTTACGCACGTTTCTTCGACCAGAGCGATCTAGAAATACTGGATACGTCTTGTCCTTTATGTACTTGATCACAAGGTTGTAATCTATGTCGGCCATGGTGCACGCTTAACAGTTAAATGAGCTAATAATTGTACCGAAATACTGACTAGGATTAACAGTCCGCCATTTTCCACGCGACCAAGCTGAAACGAGTGGTTGAGATAGCGAACGCATTATCAGTGGCGCAACTAACACAATTAGCTCTGTTATTTCCATTTAGCCAAACCCATGTTTGTGATTAACCATCAAGTAACCTTTATGGACTAAATCTTAAAATTCAAAACGACAGGCTGCCTAAAAATATTTCTTTGTAATTTATTTTAAGGATTGCAAACGTCTAATAATTGTGTTGTAGTCGGATATCATTTGTCATGTTTTAAATCGAACACTGTCGATCTTTGTTTTTATACAAGAAATCCTAACACAATTACATTTAAACTCTTCCAATAATTCTTCTTCTGACAAAAATAAAGTGTTCAGATTGAAGACCAGTCAATAATAATTGAGGTGACAGAGGATTACACAAAACTTACTTAGTGTATGTCATTCAATCCTTTGTACCAAAATGTCCAGCAATTTGACATTACCAACATGTAGGGAATACAATGTAGTTCTTGTATGTAGTGGCACAATACATACACTGCACAGG